ACTTATTTGTTTAGTTGTCGCCGAAGATGGACTATCAGTGAAGCAAAGATGCAAAGGCATTCTCATATTTTGACAAGCATAACATACGAAGAAGCTCAGAGTTCTTATCTAAGAGTCTACCAAAGATAATCTTTCAGTAGACTTTCTGACAGTGGACACCAAGTAANCAACGAACACACAAAACCAAGTGCCTGTGACGGCAAGGGAACATGCGCATGCAATGCACCATATTGCCAATAAAGGATCAACCTCGGATAAATTAGACTGGCAGATGGCGACCATTACGTAGCCAAAGCATATAAAAAATGGCGAAAAAATCACTCGCACATCTCCCTCAACCTCTGAAGTTGATGTCGTGCCTTGTGCACTCAACCAGATTAGTGAATATTGACGGTTCACTCTGCCTGCATCGCAACATAGAGGATAGAGCGGAGCGCTTATTTCAGCACAATTTTGAAATTGACCCGTGGTCGTTTGGCGCCTCCCAGGGTAGGTGTTTAGCTCAGGACAATTCGGGTTGGAGGATAGTTAATAATGTGGAGATGATTCATCGGCTACGTCTTCATTCTGTTACGAAGAGTACGAGACACGATAAGACCGGGGAAATTCATCGGCATGACTACCACTCCNTCCTGACTAATGTGATCATTATATTCGCACACACACAAAACTCCTCATACATTAACTCATGTTGAAAATAGAGTAATCCTTTTGTCTGAAACTGTATTCGACCGGTATACGTTGAAACCATGCGATTTCAAAGTTATACTTGGAAAATATGAGCATTATTCATCGTCTTTTCAAGCGTACATCCGGGAGGGAACTTTTTGGATCTCATCGTGTATATTTCTTGACTGATCATTGACTCCATAGATTTAGCTTAAATGCGTATTCAAACCTTGATTTCGTGATAGGAATGTGTAATGTGTATTCGCCTGTTGATTCCTTATTACAGCTTCAGAACTTATCCTTCGGGGAATTAAATAGAGATTACGTAAGCCCCGGATCTGGGTCTGATGATTAAACAATAGACGTGTGGTACACAATCTGTCTTTTGCGACAAACTTTGAAGATAGTTCACTTGCCTCCAGGATATCTGGTCCTGAGATAGTTGTGTACCTCCTCCTAGCTGCCATAACTATCATCTCGGAATGAGCGATCATGGTTTTCTCACGAATTTCCCCCACTACTTTCATTTGCTTGTGTTTGAACATTAGAATGCATTTGTGGTTCGGTTGAGTCAGCATCTGACCTGATCTCTATGGTCTTATATATGCACATACACATACACACACACACACTTGGAACAAACTCTTCATAAACATACGCCCAAACATATATGCCTACAGGAGGAGCGGTTCGCGTATTTCTCCCAGCGGATTCTCATCGCAGTACTTCTCCAACCGAGCCAGCCGAACTTGGTTCATCCCCTCCATCTCCAAATGGCGGTGAGTATGCCGCGCTATCCGAAGTGGCTATTGGTCCGGCCTATGAGAAGGATCAACATGGGCTCGAGTCATTGCCACCTGGTAAGGGAGTGAAGCCCATGCTTGCTCGATCGCTCGACTGGTTGACTTACTGGTAACCTTTCAATCCAGTTGACCCAACAGTCGACCAATCAACCGCGGTGCTTGCATGTGAATTCATGCGTATTGCTCTTACATCCACTCCCATCCCCAACCCACCCCCATTTAGAACCATCCGACTGCACCGTACTGTGAAATGCTCAGCTAATACGCGTGTGTTTTGTGCCTGTTTATGTGCTTGTACGCAGACTCTTAGCAAACTCGCATCTGATGAGTCGATCAATTGGTCGACTGGTGCATGTGGTGTTTGTACTGCTTTATTTTACGCTAACAATTTGCTGTCTTCATTAGTTGCCGAGCATGTTTGCAATGTATGCGTGAATGTATGTCACACTCAAATAAACAAAAGTGCGCGCACAAATAACTTCTAGCTTTGTTTGCTATTTCATTACTGTTCTTTCTTGAAGCACCACATTCATCCTATTTCTTCCTTTGTCCCCTTCCCCTCCTCTTTCTTCCTTATCCACCCCCACGCCCACCGCCACACTCGCGTTTGCCAAACTTGCTCTTTCCCAATCCCGTTTTGACGCAACAGAAATGGATCGCGAAGCTGGCTTCTATTCACGACAGGTAAGCTGAAGAAGACAATATTTTCAAAAGTTCAGTAGCTAAAATATTCATACTTCAGGTATTTCGTTTAGAATGACTGTGTTTGAGCAGTCCATATCCCAATGCCTTTTGATCAGTAAAAGTTCATAGTTCAATCCCGGTCACCTTCTCCGTAAAATGGCAGTAGACAACTGATTTTTAACGCATGCCATTCTGTGATGTTCGAACTAGACCTTGATCAACGTCGTAAATGCTGGACTCTGGACGGCTTGACACCGAATGCGGTTTTCAGAGATGGGTTTTGTGATTAGTCAAACCGTAGTGTCATTTTTTATAACGCAATGCGCTTCCATTTGATCCTCAAGCGATTCTCAACAGATTTCAATGTCTGAACAAATGAGTTCATTCAAAAGTCTATTTGCTTTTTTTCGCAGACAGCCCAGTCACACGACTCAGGGAAGTTCAATAGTTTGTGACATTTCGCTCTGCACTCGCGTAGAGATTTACAATCAGGGGAGAACTGACCATGAACACACACACATAGTACTGGTGCTTGTTGTGAGCAGTGGTTTTTACAGCGATTCATTCAATTGGTACGATGTCCGCAATTAGTGGATCAGTAAGCAGACCAAGGATCCGTTCATTGGCATGCTTTGACTACCTATAAAATTGTGGAAGGCAAAGTAGGGACCCCAAGTAACTTCCCAATTGCATTATCCACAAATCTCGGAGTAGACCTTCTCTGCATCTGATCTTATATCTCAACCGGTAAGGGTCCCATAAGTTAATTTTGGTTGTGGCATGTGTTTGGTTACCGAGTCCAATCCCTTCAATATAATAGCAGATTCGGAAACAATAGTTCTCATACCAGATGAAAAGTGTGCGCTTAACTTTCTTTTTGGATTTATTGGTGTCCAGTTATGGAGAAAAACACCCGCAGGTATAACTGAAGTTTGGAATGGAAAATGAAAAACGGTCTGATCAGCTAACCGGCGGCTGAGTTTGATGGATTCGATGGATTCGCACTGCTGATGAGACCCAACCAGGTCGAAAGAACTGTACAGTGCTTCTTAGATTTTCAGTTTATGCTTCATTTGCTCTTTACACGACGAATTCCCGCATGAAATATCATTGAAGAATCGAGCTTCAATGCAAGCCCCTAAGTCTTCGTTCCGGTGGATGGATTGTATTGTATTGTGTATTGTGTATAACTTTTGCAAGCACTGGAGCTCACATTTCAGTTAAAAAGCATACACGCTAACCGTCACAATGTACATAATCAACGGGGAGAAAAGTTTTCACAGGCATGAACACATTCATAATCCAAGGTTAAGACAAAGTTCACTCATTGTTCGCTCTTTGTTTGTGAGTAGACGAGCAAGATACGGTATGGGTGAATTGCGGTATGCATTAATTCGAGATGAAATTTGACGAAATTGGGAGCGTGTTGAATGATGGGAATGACAAAGTGTCAGTTCTGTATACAATGGGTGGTCCGGATCTGTGAGGATCCTCTCGGCAAATTTCACACAGGAAGTTACGTGATACTC